AAGATACAGATATATGACGTTATTTTTGTTTGCCTATTCTTTTTTATTCGTATTTTCAATTTCGGTTTCTTGTCTGCTTTATTTTCCTTTTACAAGAGTGTAAATAATCTAAGAGTCGGTCCTATGATTTTCATTTTTACGAAGTTACATGTTCATAGAATAAACGTCCGTTGATCGAGTAAGATACGGGGATTATTTAGCAAAATTTGCTTTAAATTTTGTAGAAAACTATAATTTTTTCGTATCCTTATTTTGTAAACATAAAATATAGATTTCACAAAATGGTACAGCATTATAAAACAACAAAGTCAAGAGTTGAATGTTTTTTTTTTATGTCTTAATAAAATTGAAAGGCGAAAAGACACTCCTTGAAGTTTTTATGATATTCTTTGAAAAATTTAACTGTTTATCTATTAAATAGAGGATGTCTTTATATAAAAATAAGGAGATGTGGTATGATTGATAATGAGACAACTATCCACCAAAGTTCAACTGAAGTGGATGTATGTTCGGTTCTACTATTACTCTTGCATATTTCTTTGATAACTTATTAGGTTAAGTCACTCCACTTACAAGTACCCAATATAGTGCAACAAATATCAAACAATGAAAGAATATAGACATTGGAATATATTATAGATATATGCATAGTAAATACTTTCGTATCTTTTGTAATGTGTTGTTTGATATTGTATGCGACGTCTTATTTTTTGTCTATTCTATTTAAAGTTGTTTTCAATATATCTTCAAAAAATGTACACTACTTACAGTCTCTTATCTTTCACCTTTGAAATGGACATCAATAATGTTCCCCGTACAGCCACGTATTTGTCTGCATCGGTTAACGATTGTTTTATATTTTATTTTGTTTATTTTCATACCATTTTCAGTACAACAAAGTAGAATGTTCAACATACAAATCTATCAGTGATATTTCTATGTAAGGTGGTAAATCATAAATGTAATACTAGTATATGAATAATGATTATTTTTTGTGTAGAAAGTTAAATAACAAAAATATAGAACTCCAAGGAAAATTCGAAACGAGAAGTCCAATAACAAATGGCAAAATCAAAAGCTCATACGATTGGAAAACAAATGTCATATTCCTGACTTGGTACAGGCATTTCCTTAAGTAGAAAATGGTGGATTAAACCTGGTTTTATAGCTAGATAAACCTCTCACTTGTACGACAGTCGCATAGAATACAGCAATTGTTGTCCATAACTTATAGCAAGAATATCAACACCAAACTATTACATTTCGAAATGTAATAGTACGTAATTTTCCAGATCAAAAGCTGTCTTCAAATCTCAAATTTTAACCCAATTTTTCTGAAAGAGAAATGAAAGATGCCAAAGGGATTTTCAAACTCATTAGTCGAAGGTGAATAAAAACGATTTGGCAAAAAAAAAAACCGAAAGCGACGAAACCAAACGCAATATGAAAAACTAATGACTAAGAAACTCGAGCCCCAACTATATCTGCGGGTGATCTCAGCTGTATGCATATCTTAAAATGATCTCAGGTCTAAAACATATCTTTAAATGATCTTAGTCAAATAAATATCTTAAAAATGATTTCATGCATATAAATATCTTAAAAATGATTTCATGTATATAAATATCTTAAAAATGATTTCATGTATATAAATATCTTACGATAATCTCACGTACATAAATAACTTAAAATAATCTCAGGTACTTGAATATCTTAAAATGATCTCAATTATAAAGATATTTTAAAACGATGTCGGATACAATGCATATAAGAATCATAAAATGCATATTGAAACACTACTTTATATTTTAAAAGGGAAGGACTATTGCAATGGTCTCATCCGTCAAGATTTTGGTTTGTTCTGTGTTTTTTTTTTGTTACATATTACTAAGTCGTTTGAATTATGATTGATTTTTATTCCTAAAACCTTGAAATGTTGAGTTCAGTGTATTAAATTTTCAGGTCTGCAGAGCAGTGACTTCCTATTTGACAATCCATGTACTTTTAATTTCAATCATAGCCACTGCGCACTTAATTTTTGTGAATATCTTATAGGGAGTGAGGGTATACTCTGCACGACATTGCATGCAATTTCAGGGCTTACAAGCATACAAATTTTGAGTACGATGCTTGCACTCAGACATGATGGAATCACGTGAACTCATAAAAGTGGCAGATTGTGTGCGTTGACAGGTTACGCGTCTCTTGCTATGCATGCATCACCCGCCATGTGAATTCACACGTAGTCAAAATGTCATAATCGGGAATAGGACACAATCTTCAAACAAAATTACAGGTTAGACTACTATACTGATATCTAAATATCTAAGACTGCAAAACCATGTTTCTAGTGAGTTAAGCCACAGACATATCGTATGGGTCAACCAACTCATGATGGTGTGGTTCTATTTATCTAGTCTCGAGATCAGTGTTTCTTTCTTAGATCTCTCTTGGAGCACTTTTGTGTACGAAACAAACGCCTGCTAATGAGGTCCGTGTAGGGTGATCATTTACGTGCGTATTGTATCAATTGAGAATGCGAACGCCATGCTGTGAGGCCAAGGGTATGTTTTTGCTGAAAAATGAGAGGTATAGTTTATGAGATATATCACCATAAAATATATTTCAAAATTCCAGGGGAGGAACTCCTATAAAATGTCATTGTTTCTTATGACTAAACTTTCTAGTTACTACCTGATGCGATTTTCATTTTTGTAACACCCGATTTGTCTATATCCATTATGAGTTCTGAGAAGTTAAAATTACAATTTGGGACATGACTTCAACCTTTGACATATACATGAATGTCCGTTTGGTGGACCAAGAACTTTAATAGAAAAAACATTTGATCAATAAAACCAATGGTTTGATAATTACACTTATAATGCACTAAAGTCATATACAATTTGGAAAAATATTTTTTTCGCTTTTGTTCATAAGGAAAGTATTAGTGATCTCAACAATGCAAGTTAAGGGGAGATAGATTAATGTTTACAAAGAAAAGTGTTTAGTTAAACATGATGAGTTTCAATGCGCACCTACTGATTGATATCAGATACTGAATATCGTATCGACATGTCACCAACCATAATAACCACAGAAGAAGAAAAAAATGCGAATAAAATTTATAATAATATTCAGAACAATTTTACAGTTTTAAACGGAAAGGTAGAAAGACCTAATAATTACGTATTGTATTGGAAAGTGGTAAATATGAGATGTACAACACCTGCTTGTAGTTGAAAATTTTGGTAGTGATATATGTGGTATAGGTATAAGAGATGACTTGTATAAACTGATCTATGAAGTAGTGTGGTATCTTAGATTTCACAGATTTATTATGAAGATTATTGCCTCAGTTGTCAGCAACCAAGACCATTGTAAACAAAAGCAAGTTTTAAAAAAGGATCGTTGCTCCTTTTTATCTTTTTTATAATACTTACTACTCTAGATTACATCATGCACGTGTATTTCATGGTTGTTTAGAACATGGCCTTTTTACAAATCTAAGGAAGCTTATGATTAATGAATATTATAATTAGAAAATAAACTCATTGGCAAGGACATTCTCAGTGTTAATTAATGATGTTCCATTTCTATTCTTGGAAAAAGCTATAATAACCAAAAAAAATGTTCATAATTTAAGTACATATAATTTTATAACATATAACAATAAAACACAAAAAGATTTGTTTACATGTCTCTGCATCTGTGCAACACATGCACATGGTTAATCTTTTTATGCTGTTAAACCAAATGCATGTATTTTACCTTGCAATGATAACCCTTTTTGCGCTTGAAGTTCCACATCATAGAACAATGTAGAACTATGTCCCCTTAATTATGTGCATTTATTGACAATAAAATACATATACGTTTATTTAATCAGAGGATCTATTAGTGAAAAAGTATTATGGTCATATCATAATGACGTTAAAACAGATCAAAATTGACAAATTGGACAAAAATTACTATTGTCGTTATAGTTTTAAAGTTCTCGCAATTGCAATGAATGTCACAGACTGGGAGACATAAGTAGGTTAATCCTGATACAGTCGCGGTGTAAAAGCTTTACATTGAAAAGGTAGAAGACTTTCATACTTGATATCTTATATACAGTTGCAATTTGTGCTGACGTTTCCGATTGGCTTATGTTTTTTGGTCTTTTTGTCATGGTTCATCGACTGCATTAAAGACCTTTACAGCTTATCATCACGTGATGTTTTCAATTATGAATAAATTGGCAACTGCATTTGGTATATGGAACACGTAGAATCATTTCAAGGTATTCACGACCTTCGTATCATTTCACGATTCATAGACAACCGTTAAGCTTCGTGAAAGATTCGTTTCTCAGATACAAAAAGAAATAAGATAAACATATTGAGTGTACCGTTCATTGGTCAGGTTTTCGTCAATAGTTCAGTTTTCAGATTCCATAAGCAATAGGTCAACTATATATGACGTATGAAACGGTAATGAGGTGTAAATGTCCATCAGAATTGGTTTATCTCACCTTGAACTCTTTTCCTGTAGCAGTGATCAACGTTAACCTTCTGTGATTAAGTCCGTTTCTCAGGATTTGATAACGAAGTTGTGGTTATGACAAAACGATCATGTCTGTGACACAGATGTTCAATAACGGTCAATCAAATCATGATGATGTCTGTAAAATATACGAGATTTTACTATTACATGTATTAACAATACTTTATCAAAGACACCTCCATAATTAAACATTTTAATATCTTGTAATTAGCGTATTCAAATAAATTCTCGAATTGATTGTATTTAGGCTGTCTTTAAAAAAATCATGATCTTGAATATTTAAAATTGGTCAAGGAATAGAAAAAGGGAAAACAACAGAACTATTTGTTTGTTTTTGCGTTTCTTTTGTGGACTTATATCTAAATAACTACATGTTTCATGTGTTCATGGAATATAGTTCATTTACATTGTTGTATAAACAAGCCTTACATTAATATTATATTGCAGGCTATACTGTATATGTCAGCACCAAAATACCGACGGAATCAAATGACAGCTTACTTCCAACCTACACAACAAATTTTGCTTTAGGACAATCATTGGCGTCGACGTCTGCAAGTATTTCTGATGTACGAAGGCCTGAAGAAAGGACTAATAGTCGCGCATTAGGTATTATAGTATTATATAAACACTAAATATTACAAATATTGGACAAAGCAGACTTAACAATTAATTTGCCTTGAAAACCCATTTTTTTTTCAGAAAAAAATCAAACACAAACACAAATAGTAATCAAAATTATAATGCATTGGCATGTGAGCCATGTATCATATTTAAACCTTTGCTTTGGGATCCAAATAACAGATCAAGCCGATGTAGTGCATGGATGTAGTATTTAATGCTTGACCTTTAATGTTTTATCAGTTTGTTTGACTGCTTGATTTGATAGCTTTTTGTTGCTATTATCTGCTGTTCTTAATTCTTTTAACTTATGCTTTGTTTTAAGATATACTTTATTTTGCATGCCGTTTTCCTAACATATGACTGAAACTATGCCTATAACTTTTATATGCCATCAATATTATCTTACCATGCATTATATGTTTCTAATTGTGTTGTTTCATGACATTTGCATGTGTGTGTATTTAAACTTTGATGTAGTCGAATTGAAAAGCTCACATGAGCTTGTATTTAGGTTGTCTTTTTGAAGAATATCGATTTACTGGATACCAGAAAATAGGCATAATGACAAACACATTTGGAAAGTTAACATACAACAAAAGGCATTTACATGTACACTGTAATATTAAATTTTAAAATACTCTACCTGTACCGTATCGTACTTAAGGTAAATGGCAAAATAAAAACAGTCCAAGTAAAACAGAAGAGGAGTGAACAAAAATTGAACAACAATTGTTTGCAAAAATAATCATCAACACTTAACACAGCATTGATATGTTTTAAAAACATTTTACACAATACAACTGTATACCTTCAATTCCGTAGACATGGTAGAGGAATGAACAAACCATGCACTCCTTTAATTTTTAACTTCGCACATCAATTTTCAGTACATTTCGAAAGAGAGTAAAACAATGCAATCTTGAATAATATGTTAAAATTTCAAGCGCTTTTAGTTCAATATATAGTTTAGTCGATATTGGAAACTCTCGATATCTTCTCATACAGAAAATACATGCATTGTAAATAAGTCTGCCCCTGTCTTACAGTTGTTCATTTTTATGGGATGAAGCGCTTGGTTTGTTTGAAAAAAAACATTTTAGAAAGTATAAAATATTCCTTTTTCAATAAATGATTCGTTCTAAAAAAAGAAAAAAGTCTGAAACATAAGTCCTACATTCTTTTCAGAAAAAGAAGTAGGAGATCTATACACTTTGGAGCATATGATTCATTAAACCAATTATATATCAGTTTTATTGAAATAAAATAAACTGCACGATATAATGGGCATAAAATGAGTGGTTAAACAATTGTCAATCAACCTTTCCAGTTTCCAATGGCACAAAATTCAAAGTGCTATACTCTTGATCGTGGTTGTCTTTTATCATATTTAAGTACTTTTTTTTTCAAATTATCACTCGCTGTTGCAACTTCTGTAATACCATTTATCAGAAAGCTGTCGTTCTTGGTGCAAATGTTCACCATCATATGTAGCTGGCAACCTTGTACCGTGATTTTGATTTGATTATTGTGACACATGATTTATTTCCTCATGTATACAGTAAGGGGGACATTTGGCTACAGCGTAGCAAACTTGTTTTACTTTTTTACCCTAAGCTTTGTTTTCATTGTAATTATGAGTAACAAGATTGTAGAAAATGACAGACAACAGACATACCCCTCACTGGGTTGTTGCAGAATTTCTTTAACACTCACAGATCGTTGCAATCTCTCTTAACGTGTCTTGATATTGTTTTTGTTGTATATCATTGCAGATTTGTGTATCGAAATTACTGCCGGAGGCGCTGCATCCTTTGCAATCATAATCATTGTTCTCTTGGTCATGTAAGTTGAAAAGTAATTTATATAGGCATCTAAGACATTCATTAAGGCACTTATCAATTAAGTCGGTCTAAACATTATTTTGTTATCATATTTTTTGTCAGCAAGATTTTGATTTATTTTTTTCAAAATTGAAAAGGATATCAATTTTGTTGTCAAGTAATATACATTGTGTATCAACCAAATGGAATAGAGAGTTTCAAAGTTGTCAATGTCAAGTAATGTGACTATCAGGTTGTCAATTGCCTCAGTTTGCATCACTAAACATATAGTTTGATTTTTTTCAGTATCTTTATCCAAAGAAGAAAATTGATGAAAGCTGCCTACACATCTTTGACAGCACGAAGAGATCAAAACAATTACAACGAAATATCACATCAAATGTCAGATTCTATAACAGGTCAATATTATGAGGTGACGCCAGTATCAGAGATAACAGCTTCAGGATGTCAATCGACTGTCCAACAGAACATCGATCAAATACAACACATTGATACATCTGGATATCTTATTCCTTTTAGTATGCGAGAGACAAGTGGAGAACACTATCAATCAGTCGTAGACTAAGTTGAAAATGTCGTAACATCTTTTTGTAAATATTCACACTCCACGTATACGCATAATCATGTATATATATTTTTTAAGTGGACTACAATTATTTTATTCATATGTTTTTATTACTACAAAATGTATCCTTAACTGTTGTAGTACTGTATAAGATTTGATAGAAGTTCTAAAGAAAATGTGTAGGTAGGAAATTTGTGAAAACACGATACAGTTTTGATCCCACGCTGATGTTTTTACGAAACTTTGCAAACAAGCTACTTTTCTCCTTGTCAATTCAAATACGTAATAAAAAATATACCTTCATGTGCTACTTTTAGCGAGAAATGGGGTCAGAAATCAAGACATTTACTTCAAATTTCGGTTTCTTGGACATTTCTATTCTTATGGATAGACATACCTAATTTTTACTGGTTTCAAAAGATGAAAACAAGCGGATTTTTGTGAAAACATTTGGATAATCTTATTTACATAAGTATGCTCTAAATTTGTGTAACAATTTTTTGGAAATAATTCATTTATATCAAAGTTTCATGATTTAAGAAAAAAACCTGCTTTGTTTGCTGTATAGTTATCAAATTAAAAAAAAAAGTCATCCATAAAAAATGATACAAATAATCTTCATACATAATCAAACCAGATATCATTTTAATAAAGAGGAATCAATGTACTTGTTTTTTAGCTAATGATTAAAATCAGTTGAAAAATGCATCTTTTCCCAATATATCACAGTTTGACGCGTCGCGAAAAATAACATTTTCCGTTTGCAACGTCATTACATTGTACTTCCCTCTAACTGTATCGTATGCCCTTAAGAGAAAAAGCATACAGTAATATGACAGAGTTAAATGTGTATGTATGTGATGGATTATAACAGTGCATTCAAAGACTAAAAAGCGCGTTTTTTTTCAGTACGCGAGACAGGTTATAAATATGACAAATACTTGCACGTGTGGATTGATTAACTGTTTTATTTCCTTTTCAGTTCAGAAGAAATTTTTAGATTATGTGTTCCTGGAAAATGTGTACTATTTTCAAACTTAATTGAATGTCAATTGACGATATGCTTAAACTTGCTAATTTCCAAACCTATTTAGCACTGGAGGCTGTTCTTTGAAATAGCACCATGAGACACGGTGTTGGCCTTATTTTGTAGTTAATGATATAAAGTATAAATCCTGATCCAACAAAACATTTTATTGCAACATGTTCAAACACAGAGACTGTCCGACCAAGAATAAGTTCTAAGAGAGTAATACTTATTCCTTACAATTAATTGTGACAATGCTTACATTGTAACGTCATATTAAGGTTTTCTGAAAAATCAAATTTTTAGCAAGCTGACAGAACTAATGTTGCATTTAAATATTTTCTTTTAAATATTCTGTAAACCACCAAGACATTATTTTACTAGCACCTGTAAAGTGAACAACATTATTGCTTATAATTATGATTGGCTTGTTCCGTCCGTGCAAGTTTGCGACAGAATTGCTATCGTTATATAAAAAGATATTACTTTTTTTCATTTAAATAACAAAAAAACAAACAACAAATGTATAAGTGGTCTGTAAATGGCCAGGTGAAAGGGACATTTCCTGTGCCTACTCAAAATACCATTTTTATTTAGTGGCTACTCTCGATATGCATTCTAGTCGACCAACTTATCAGAACCTTCTTTATTTTAATTTATTTTTAATTTATTTTCGTCTTGCATATATATGAAATGTTTGCCACTGAAAGCAAACAACAATCGATAATAAATAAAATGCATGCAAATAAATAAGACTTCGATATTAATGTCTACTTATTCCAGGAAAATTGTATACTGTTTGTAGACTAGTCTTTTGTGATTCTAGATAGCGGTTCTCAATAATTATACTGTCATTCTATCTTTATAACATTAAAATACACAGCATGTCTAGAAACAATTTTAAAATGTTTCATTCTTATCATATTATTTTAATGAACACTAGGTACGTGTTATCATTGTCGGGTAAGTGAAAAGCATGCGCGATAGGTTGATGGTAGTACATGTGTACATGTATATAGTATAACACTCAGACAAATATATGACATTTTCAAAATAAATTCGAATTTTGCTTGTTATTTCTAGAGGAAATTGATTAATACATGTAAATTTCAATATTAATACGTGTATATCATAAACATACTATAAATAAAACAAATTCTGATACATTGACATTCTATGACCTTATATATGTATATATATATAAATAAATATATATTAACCTTGACTTCTATGACCTTATATATGTATAAGGTCATAGAAGTCAAGGTTAATATAAATATATTTATTGTTTTCTGTTTGGTAATAGATTAATTATAAGATCCATTTTGTTACATCTCGTGATCATATTATTTTGCAATCGCCAATGGCAGTCAGCAGGGTTTAAGAACATCAGTTGTTCGACCTGCTAGTCAAATGCGTTTTGTTAAAATGTACTTTTTCACTTTTTTTGGTCTTTTGGAAAAATGTTGTTTGTGCTGTATTTAGACCCCTCTACCAAGAAATTTGTTTTGCATGCACACGTATAAAAATTTCGGTTTTTATCCAACGCAATCATAGGGTTGAACGTTGTTTTCAATTTAGACTTCTTTATATATATATATAAATATATACATATAAGAGATAGAATACAAAATCATGTCTAGAAAGTTATGAAGAGCTTTCTGCTACTTCAAATGATGAATTTATATTGTCTTTAAAAGAGAGGCGAAAGATACCAAATGGACATTCAAACTCATAAGTCGAAAATGAACTGACAACGCCATGGCTGAAATATAAAAAGACCTAAATACAAACAACAGTACACAAAACACAACATAGAAATCTGAAGACTGAGCAACACAAACCCCACCAAAAAACTGGGGGGTGATCTCAGATGCTTCGGAAGGATAAGCATGGTCCACATGTGGCACCTGTCGTTTTACTCATGTAAGATGCTGTATCATTAGTTCATCTTCCACACCTCCGTTCATTTTAACCAATAAATAAGATGGTGCAGTGTAATGCAAAGTGAGTCGTCTCATACACACCCACACAAAATCACAAGCTGTCAGAGAATTAGTTTCAAATAAAATCATTAAAGCCTGGACTAGACTGTATCGATCATCCCCTAAATCAACTTACACCTTTTGCATGAATATCAATTCATACAGACAATGATGAGCGATACAGTTCTGCATGCAAAAAACTTACAATTTGAGAAAATATAGATAAACAAAGATAAACTATTGTTAAATAAGCTACAGACAACTTATTTCTGAGGAAAGAAATCAGCAAGGAAGACCATAACATTAAATTGATGTTCTCCACACAAAAATAATATATCTTGATCGCAAATTTGAGCAAAAAGTACAATACTCTCGCAGATTTGCAGCCGGGATAAAATACAATGTCAGAACAATTGAATATACTCAATTGATTGGTACATGTGCACTTATAATAAGTCATCTTGTGAATTGTTCTTTGGGTTTATTGTACTAATATTGAGGAAAATTGTCCCAAGTAGTATAGCTTATTTACACAAGGTTGCAAGTGAAATGTAAAATTACTGCATAAATATCAGGGACAATATTACTCAATGTCAGTCAAATAACAATATATTCATCAATATCAATTTACGCGGGTCCTCTCTAGAGTGTACCAAACTTTAAGGAGAATATATAGATTGCAATATCGGTCAAGGTGCACTATATTTCCCTCATTGGAAATGCTGTACTGTTTAAGTATATTCATAAAGGAAAACGAGCTAAAATATCGACAAGAGTAATCGTTCAATTAACCAATGTATATTTTGATATAATTGACTAAAAACAAATAATGTAATTATCGATATCGTATGCTAATGTTACAATTAATTGCAAACACTGGCTGAAATTCCTTATATGTCCGATCATTCTTTTTGGTTTTAATTCTCATCGGGCATCTAAAAAATTGTATCGCTCATCATTGTCTGTATGAATTGATATTCATGCAAAAGGTGTAAGTTGTTTTAAGGGATGACAAAAAAATAGTGTATCATAGTGTACGTCAATGGGACATTAACGCAGCTATAAAACAAAGACGAATAAAGGTTAACATGCTGACTGTTGAATATTTCAAGGAAAGTGTACTCAGTCTTATATAATTAGACTTGATACGTTATACAAAAATCATTTTTAAAAAAATAATATTTAGTTGGAGTATTTATTGACTTCCAGAAACCATTTGATATGATATGGAAATTTGGACTTTTAAACAAAAAAGATACTTTAGTTAGTAAATTGACTTGGTTAAAACATATGCAATATATTGAGGCAAAATGCAGTAAAGTATTAAATTGTATGAAACTTCTAACTGGTACTAAGTGGGGAGCAAATATTCATTCTCTTAGAAACATATATATTGCACTAATAAGATCTAAAATAGACTACGGATGTGAAGTATACAACTCCGTCTCACATTCTGTAAAGAAAATTCTGTACCGGGTGCAAAGTCAAGCACTTCGAATTTGTACAGGTGCATATAAAAATGTAGCCACTAGTGTACAGCAAGATGAAATGGGTGCCCCACTCTTATGTTTCTGTTTCAAAAGATATGATTAATCAAAATGATATAGCCATTAACCAAATATATAGATACAAACAATTTTCACCCCCCCCCCCCCCCCCCCCACCCCACCTTGGCATTTGTTTAAACCCCGTGTGTGTTCACAACTCTCAATGCTCATCTCGAAAAAGGACAATCCACACTAAATTCGAAGTGAAAGTAACTTTATGATTGATACGCAATATCGACAGTTTTTAAAAATATATACGGACGGATCTAAATATCCAACTTCTAATAATGCCTCATGTATATTTGCTGTTCCCGAAATGGGAATAAAAAAAACTACATAAGAATGTGTCAATTTTTACTTGTGAGCTTATGGCAGTATTTCTGTCTCTTGTATGGGTAGAAGAATTTAAACCAAATAATGTGATTGTATTTGTCGACTCTTTATCAGCTCTCCATACCTTAAAGAGTAATTTATTTAAGGTAAAAAATTATTTATTGTACGATATTATATTTTTATACAACCAGTTAGTCAAGCTATGTAGTAACATAATATTTGAGTGCATCCCAAGCCACGTCGGAATTTTAGGAAATGAAATTGCAAACAAGACAGCCAAAGCGGTTCTTAATAAATGTACACTAAATTGTCATATTCTCCTATAAAAGGAAGACATCAAATGTTTAACAAAAAAACATCTTAAAACAAATATGGCAAATACAGTGGTCAGACAACCCAAAGGGAAGATGCCCCTCTTCTTGCCGACTTGTTTCGAGTTCAAAATGGTGAAGTTGAAATCATCCCTTCGTAAATTTTACAGACGCCATCACGAGTTGGTTGACCCTTATGGAACAACCGTTTCACAGATGATATCGGATATGTTCCTTATGTCGTAACTACAATACCCTTCCCTTTTCACGAATGTGACCTACCGAATTCGACTATTTACCGGATTTGTAATAACATAAGCTACACGACGGGTGCCACGTGTGGAGCAGGATCTGCTTACCCTTCCGGAGCAACTGAGATCACCCCCAGTTTTTGGTGGGGTTCATGTTACTTAGTCTTTAGTTTTCTGTGTTGTGTCATCTGTACTATTATTTGTCTGTTTGTCTTTTTATTTTTGGCCAAGGCGTTGTCAGTTTGTTTTCGATCTGTGAGTTTGACTGTCGCTCTGGTATCTTTCGTCACTCTTTTACTACATTCAACCAAAACAATGTATCTTTTAAGATAACTATTACACAAATGAATAGAGAAAATGAACGAATCATATACAGAATAAGATCTGGCTCTATAAATGTTAATACATATCTTTACAAAATAGGGAAAAATCCTAGTGAACTTTGTGAACACTGTGAAGTCACAGACGATGTTGTACACTTTCTATTAGTCTGATATGATGCGCAAAGAAAACAGATGTTTGAAAATCTTAAAAATCAAGGAGTCATAGATCTCTCATTGAAACACCTTCTATCCGGATACACACGTACTTTTAGTCCCGTGCATTACTATTTATGGGAAACTAATATGCTTATAATTTACGTTAAACACTCTGATCTAGTGAAGATTAGGAGTAAACTCCGACACTAAATAGTTTAACAGTATATGTTAGGAAAAAAAGAAAATGAAAAAGAAGGGGAAAAATACAATATCTCTTTAAGAGTCTCACAAACAGACAGTTACGGTCATATTATTAGAAATTAAGAAAAACAAACAAGCAAAAATAACACACTAAGCTCATATATTTAAGAATAGAAGCATTTGCTAAAGCCTTTTCTAAGAAAGTGTCACTAAAGATTTTCTTAATAATTTAACAGAACATGTTACAAACAAAAGAAAAAGTAAGAACAAAAGAAAATACAATATCACTTTCTGATTTTCACAAACTGACAATTACATTCATATTATTAGAAAATAAGAAAAACAAACAAACAAAATAAGCTCATATATTTCAGAAAAGAAACATGTGCTATATCCTTCGCTAACAATCTCTGTTCTTAAACATGTTAAAGCAAATTCAAACAATTGCTTTGTTTTAATAATAAACTGGTATTAAAAAAATTTCCTTTTTTCTATTTTTTCTTCTTATATTTATTACATGTATATATATCTTAATAGGCGACCAAGGGTTTAGGTAGGGGTGATTTCTCATTCAATGACAGAAGTGTGTTTTTTTTCTCTCGTCAGGGACGGAGGGATCACTAAATACCAGTATGTCTTTGGAATGTTATTCGGAACAATATACGCGACCGTTATGGAAAAGGAACGGCTACAAAATCCCAATCCTTACTAAAGAATTCTTTATCTGCTACATCAATCATTGGAGACGTCCTCGCATATGTAGCATTTAACTAGCACATGCCTTATTCTATGTTTATTAGTAATATATTTTATTTTTATACGTATATCAAAGACGACACAAAGGTGAACAACCTGATTAAATTTCTAAACAATAATATGCCTATCAATTAATAATTTACATTTTATTAGGAATTATCATTTTTTTTTTTTTTTTTGCTTTGTTTCATTTTCCTTTCAATATGTTTTTTTGTGGGCTTTATGTGTGTGGGTTTTTTTTTCATATTAATTTTTTTTTATATACATATGTATACTTTATTGTAACATAGTCAACCCTGTTCGTCACAGTTTCATATAATTACTCCCCAAAATGTAATACTAAAAATGATTACAAACAAATCAGATACAAGTAATATGAAACTCTTTGTACCAAAGAGTTTTTGCAATTACTAACAGCAAATTCAATTCTGAATTGCTAATATATACATCGTGTTGTCTTACACTCTTATATCATAAAATTTAAGAAATTAATAAGAAATTAAGGTTCTAACTCCTTTACGCAAAGTTGGTCATATAGTTCCTAATGTTTCTACGTAATTAGATATTTCTCGCTTTCAAACGTTTGGGTTGGAGCTTTCCTATAAAAGTTAAATCCAGTAAAGCGTTTCGGATGTACGAAATTTATAGCATGTTATTTTCATTTGATATTGGCTGCTGTACTGGAAGCCGATTTTCAGTTTTCAGAGTTCTCATTTTAAAAGCTAGTATTCAAAGAATATGGAAGAAAGATCTGTTATTTAAACTTACTTTTCAGTCCTAAAAAGGTTTGTTCAACACATATTGTTGCCGAAACAAATTCACGGTAACTGAAACGATTAAACTTTAAGAACCCTTGATTTCACAATATTTGAAGCTTACTTTCCACTTTCATGAGTTTTTTTCTGGTATTATGGGGATCCCTTATATCCATAAAGTAATAGATAATCGAAAACAAAAGAAGGAAATTATGGATAGAAATTGTTTGGAATATTCACTGTGAGTCATTAGTTTGCAATCGACCCCCCCTCCCCCCCCCCCCCCCCCCCCCCCCCCAACAACAACAACAACATAAAATAAATAAATTCGTATACGGTCTCCGTTAATACAATGGACAATTGAACTATTTATACCGCAGCCCTAAATGGCCAAATAGTATATCAAAGTTCTAAATAATTAATTCATTCGGAAGATCGAATTGATCAAAATTATGTAGTGTCCATATAAATTGATAGTGACTGTGGCAAAATCTTTAAGTGATCATCAAGAATAAATACCGAAACAATTGACCATTAAGTACTGTCATAGTCTGCACTTGGTACAACCATTCACGCCACCAATAATAATAATAATTACAAATGAATGTCTAAAAATACATGTACCAATGCATTATTTATCATCAATGATAAATTATTAAAGTATCTGTATCCGTTTTTTTTTTATCGCGGAAATAAAGTGGGTTATAATTACTTCCTTGGCCTTTGTAGAAATGTGGCATCAAGTAATAAATATTATTTTGCTTTTGAATATTATCGTGACTTCAAGTTCTGTTTTCAATACAACTCAAGGTAGGCTTAGTTTATCTTTTATAAACATATATGTATTGTAGATTTTTTTAATTGTCGCCACACTACCAGTGACCAATTTTGTATTCTTATATACAGTTGTACAGGACATGTCAATGTACTTGTGTCTTAAAACTATAACCTTACGTATTATATATTGTTACAGTGGCTCCAAGGATAGAAGCCTGAAGGCACTCAGCAGAAAAAGTAAATAGCCATCCATTAGCAACCTTTATAAGGTTACGTCCGTTACACTATAAACCACCTTCTTTCTAAGCTCTTAAGTTATAAAATTGAAGTTGATATTTTCTCAGACATAGTTGACCTTCGACTTGTTTGCTTTGTTAGGCTGTATTTTGGTTATATACGTCCAATATACTGATGCATCTTTGTTGTATATAACTCCTTACCTGGAAAGTCCCTGGAGAATGTTATGACATCTATTTGCATCAATCATATCAAATATATGAGGTTTCTTTCTGGTGCTATACAGTTACATTGACTGGAGAGATTTAAGATGATTACTATGAAAACTTCATAGAATTGTCAGATGATGTCCTTTTACTAAATAGTTCAAAGATTTGTGACTATGTAAACATATCTATCCAATCATTTGGCAAAATGTGGGGTACCTTGCTAATTTGCAAAGCGGCCATATTGCTTTATCATGACGACATCCATAACAAAAGGATTATATATGTCCCTAAAATAAAAATGAAAATATGTCAATTCCTAAGTCGAATCATCAATTTGTCTGGATATAGGCAAATTGTACATGTTTTTTGCATTTTATTCGTGTACAAATGAACAATAAAATTGAGAATGGAAATGGGGAATGTGTCAAAGAGACAACAACCCGACCATAGAGCAGACAACAGCCGAAGGCCACCAATGGGTCATCAATGCAGCGAGGAACTCCCGCACCCGGAGGCGTCCTTCAGCTGGCCCCTAAACAAATATGTATACTAGTTCAGTGATAATGGACGTCATACTAAACTCCAAATTATACACAAGAAACTAAAATTAAAAATGATACAAGACTAACAAAAGCAAGAGGCTCCTGACTTGGGACAGGCGCAAAAATGCGGCGGGGTTAAATATGTTTTTTGAGATCTCAACCCTCCCCTATACCTCTAGCCAATGTAGAAAAAACAAACGAACAACAGTACGTACAGTAAAACTCAGTATAAGAGAAGTCCGAGTCCGATGTCAGAATAGGAAACAAAAGGAAATAAGCAAAATGACAATAATACATAAATAACAACAGACTACTAGCAGTTACTGACATGCCAGCTCCAGACCTCAATTAAACTGATTGAAAGATTATGTCTTCATCATATGAAAATCAAGTACAATCCCTCCCGTTAGGGGTTTAGTATCATACCATCATAAAATATATGAGAAGAACATAACCCGTATCATGCCAACAAATGGTTTTAGAATAAATGTGTTTAATTCCGATGCAAAGACCCTATAAGTGAATCAATATTAAAGCCAAAATATGCAATCTTTAATGACCTGACAACAGTATCGTAACTATATCCCTTCTTAATAAGTCTGTTTAAAGGTTTTGTTAGCTTTTGAGGTGAATACTGACATTTTTGTGCTTTGTAAAGAATATTACCATAAAAGATTGGATGTGAAATACCCGAACGTATAAGATGTCTGCATGTTGAGTTATATTTACGAATGATGTCCTTATACCGATGATAAAATTTAGTAAATGTTTTGACTAGTTTATGATATCGAAAACCCTGGTGTAATAATTTTTCAGTAATACATAAATTTCTCTCGCTAAAATCTAATACGTTGTTACATACACGAGCGAATCGTACAAGTTGAGATATATAAACACCATAAGATGGTGACAAGGGAACGTCACCATCTACAAATGAATAATTAACGAGAGGAAATGAAAAATCATCTCTTTTATCATAATGTTTTGTATTAAGCTTCCCGTTAATGATATAGATATCAAGATCGAGGAAAGGACAGTGGTCATTGTTAGTATTAGCTTTATTTAAAGTAAGTTCAACAGGATAAATTTCTTTAGTATACATACTGAAGTCGTCATTATTGAGAGCCAATATATCATCCAAATATCTAAAAGTATTGTTAAATTTTTGTATCAGATGTTGTTTCGATGGGTTTTTGCTGATTTTAGTCATAAATTGTAACTCATAACAATACAAAAACAGGTCCGCAATAAGTGGTGCACAGTTAGTCCCCATTGCAATTCCGATAACTTGACGATATACGGAATCTCCAAAGCGAACAAAAATGTTATCAAGTAAAAATTCAAGGGCAGATATAGTATCAAAGCATGTCCAATTGACATAGCTCTTTTGTTTGTTGCTACTAAAAAATGACCTGAAAGAGTTTGAACATATGTATTCGCATTCCGACTTTTTAAATGCCCATTTAATTAGGTGTGTGAATTTTTTCTTAATAAGAATATGAGGCAAAGTGGTATATAGGGTATAAAAATCAAAACTTTGAACAGATTAAAAATCACCAATATATGCATGCAATTTATCAAGTACTTCCAACGAGTTTTTGACACTCCAAAAGTAGTTAATTCCACTATTTTCAAAGGCCTTATTTGAACAATTTATTGTCAGGTTTTTGATTGTACCAAGTGTACTAGTAAGTAGAAAAGACAATTTAGTAGTGGAACAATGACTTGAAGACGAAATAAATCTATATTTATAAGGTGATTTGTGTAGCTTCGAATGTCTACTTTGACAACTTTCGGCCTTTTCAGTTTGAAAATCAGAAGCGTTACCGTAGTATAAATGTTTTACAGTATAAAATAACGAAAAATCGTGAAAAAGCAAGATCCAAAATAGAAATGAAGACACAAGAAGAGATAGTTCTTGATTTGTCCGCATATAGGGTAACACCTTACAGGTTGCATTATCAGGTTAAATAACTTTAATCTTACCTGATCTCTTAAGTTTTCGGCCAAATTGTTTTAAAACATGATGATTTCATCCTTCCCACTTCGTAAATAGTCAAATTGTAAGTATTTTTACTTAGAATTACAGAACATTTTTGTAAGTATCCCCCAAAGGAAGTTTTCAAAGACACGTTAGTATTAGATCCAAGACGAAAAAAGACTGGATTATCCGCAAGTCTGATATAATTTATATTTTCAATCTACAACTAAGGGAAGTGATTTAATCAAAAGGGTCAAAGTCACGTGGTACAAGTCATATGAATAAAGTACCTATGATTTTGCCATATGTTTAATTTGGTATAAAGGATTATAAACATACATCTACAAATTGACAATAATTATCATTCGATAATAAAACTTTCTATTATATTCTACTAGAAAAGAGATGATTTCAGTTTTCCAATTGTGAACCTTTTTTTTTTTCTATTTAACAACATTACAGCAGCTCCTGCATATGGGGTATATGTCTCCCAGTTTATTCAATAATTCACAGCTTCCTAACATGAGGGTTGCATCTTACAAGGAAGAAATTTACCCATTGATTCCAAGTGAAAAATATTGGGTCTATTGCTCAAACGTTTTTCAGATGGCAACGTGAATTGGTTGATCGCTATGGAATTTAAATGTCACAGATGACCACGAATATGTTCCAATCGATCGTCCAAGTCACAATCCCATACTTTTCTTTCTATTGTGACTTCCCTGAATTAGACTGTATAATATGAACAACACGACAAGTCCGACATGTGGAGCAGCATCCAGTCACTCTTCTGAAGAACCCAAGCCCCCCCCCCCCCCCTTTACAGCTTATAGTTAGGTCATATGCAGGCGCTCCTGGAATGTTGCTACATAGAAACAGATACTTTATAGTTTAAAAGCTGAAGTCAAAAAAAGACCATTTATGTCATTAATTGTTAAAAGCATAACCATGGAAATTCTTAAGATTTTGTCTTATATTGTAAAATGTTAAGTTTAGTTGCGGTTTAGAGTTAAGAGTAAACAACGTTATCGTTTTTTCCCTTTACCGTTTTTTTTTTTGTCAGTTACAATACTTATATTCCCCTATTTGGAAACTCTAAGAGCGATTTTACAAGTGTTATTATATATATTGTTTGATTGTATTTGGATATTATCAGAATTTTATGAGCAAAGTATAAGGCTTTAATTTTGTTGAATGTAGATCAACAAAGCGAAACTTGTGTTTAATTACTCGCTATAACATATATTACATATCGGATAACAAGCCACATGAAAACGGTAACAATGTAGCTCGAAATAATGTCAATTGATACGTAATTGATATATAAATATTACACATATGTACTTTCACTGTACTATAATCTATCGATACCTATATTTTGGCATTGCACAAGTTCATGTTTTTCTCTGACTGTTAATGACGTCTTTACACTAAATCCATTGGATGTTGGATGTGTACTGATTGATATGTTAGTCTTAGATACATGATTTTTGTATTAGTTGTAATTGGCTATGATCTAGCTGTCAGTAACTGCGAGTACTCTCAGATCTGTACTTAGTGTTTTTTGTTGTTGTTAGGGATGAGGGATGGATATATACCTTGCCACATCCTGTCTGTGTTTTTGTTTGATGTTTTTCTTTGTATCGATCTGATGAGTTAAGACTATTTCAACTGATTTTTATAGTTTGTTCTTATGTTGTGCTGTTACACTACTGTCCCAGGTGAGGGGAGGGTTGAGCGTTCACAAGCATGTTTAACCCCGCCACATTCTTTATGTGTCTGTCTCAAGTCAGGAGCCTGTAGTTCAGTGGTTGTCGTTGGTTGACGTCTGTCATAATTGTTTTTCGTAAATATTTTTGTTATAAATTAGGCCGTTAGTTTTCTCATTTGAATTGTTTGATATATTTCATGTCGGGGCCTTTTATAGCCGACCAAACGGTATGGGTTTTTTCATTGTTGAAGGCCGTACGATGGGCTATAATTACTTATATCCACTTTTTTGTACTTTGGTGGATAATTGTCTTGTTGGCAATCATACCACATCTCCTTATTTTTATATATATCTTTTTTAAAACTTTATAGTAAAATAATCTTATAAGAAAACATATGGTAAGGCCACTTTTTTGGCCGCTTGAATTCGATTTGATTTTGATTTTTGGTGTTTTAACGCCACTTTTAAGCACCGCTTTTGGGCTATTTCGTGGCGGCCAGTTTTTATTGGTGGAGGAAGCCGGAGTGCCTGGAGAAAACCACCGACCTTCGATAGGAAAACTGACAATCCTAGTCAATTTAGATTGGAGTCGAGTGCACCCGCACGAGCGGGGTTCGAACTCACAACCTCAGTGTTGACTGGCTAGTGATTACAGTAGTAACTACTTAAACCACTCGGCCACCGAGGCCCCTTTGCTTGAATTCGACGATCAAAAAGTATTATAAATCTACCAATCTACACCCCTCATGTGTCAATAAGACATAAGTCTGTCGGATATAAACGTTTAATATTTTTTAATTTTGTCTTACCTTTTAGCATAAGGGCTTCAAATTTCTCACATTTGGTACAAAATAACAACAAACTGCCAAAAAGAAGCCTCATTTTGAGATCTTGTCATTTCTATATAGATATGAACAGCAGCTTCACCCGAAAAAGATATTTTGCTTCAAAATGTATTTTACAAAGATGTAAATGTAAAGTATCTTTTTGGGAAAACATGGTAAAGAGGTTGCTCATTTATATTTTGATAAAAAATATGCGTGAAATGGCAATTATAGGTAAAATACTTAAATTTCCAAATGTTGATGACGGCATAGTAACATCACAAGTGACCTCTTTGCACTTAAGTGTCAGGATTATATCAACCTGTTCATTTATAAATAGTACTAATATAATTTTGAGTAAGTTTACTACTTTTGCAATTTTAGGGGGAAAATAACGGTTCTCGTCTAACTTCCTATTTTACTGAGATACTTAGTCATCAAGGTTTTACGAATGTGACCTACCGAATTCGACTATTTACCGGATTTGTAATAACATAAGCAACACGACGGGTGCCCCATGTGGAGCAAGATCTGCTTACCCTTCCGGAGCTCCTGAGAGCACCCCCAGTTTTTGGTAGGGTTCGTGTTGCTTAGTCTTTAGTTTTCTATGTTGTGTCATCTATTATTTGTCTGTTTGTCATTTTATTTGTGGCCATGGCGTTGTCAGTTTGTTTTCGATCTATGCGTTTGACTGTCCCTCTGGTATCTTTCGTCCCTCTTTTATGATCTACTATGCCATGTGTGGTGATAATCAACCATATCTTAGAGGATCAGAAATGATATATTAAACCATGCTAGCTATAATTTTCGTCTAAGAAGCTTTTATTGAAATCTCTAATATCATTATTAATTTTTCTGTTTTTGTTTGGAGTTGAGATCTTGTCTCCTCTAGATAAACACAATTCATTTTATACATATTAATAAAGTTGTGTAAACACAAATACAATATGCATTAATTTTGATAGAATATTGTGTTAAACAGTTCAATGGGAGGATGCACAGAAAATGTGCACTGTTCCATCTCTAAGCGACATCATGTACACACACATAGTATATGCTGAGCTACCTACAACATTTACTGCATGGACATCGTCACGGAATCTTACATCAGATTGGACATCTTTTTATGGTAGTATGGTATTTTGTCATATCAAAACGATTAATGTATAACTGAAAGATTATTAAAAGAATCTTTTTCAGTTCACTAACTGTATCAGGAGAAAATACTGTAAATCATCAATTATTTTGATTAACAACTAACGGTCAAAATGCAAAATTAATATATATTTAATTTCGTGAAATTAGACAAACAATGAAAACCGCGTGTGGGTGCGAATCTATTGCATTTGTTTCGTCTCAATATCCAGATTGTATGTAATACTACATGTGGGAATGAAGATACCTTTTCTATGAAACACTAGTGAACAAACGGACTATTACAACTCTTGACAAAAATCGAAAAAATCACAAAAAAGACAAATCCCAGTCAAATTAAAAAAAAAATAGTCTATCTTAAAAATGCATACTCTTTTTACCAAAACTGCAAATAGTTCAAACAACTAATTGCTTTATTGTATTTCTATTGTTGAAGGCTGTATGTTTCCCTCTATGTGTCCTTTTTTTGTTATGTTTGTCGTTTGTTTGCTGTATCATTAACGTATACCCGACGTTTACATTTGTACATCGTCTGCACATCGGAGTAGATTTCATAACGCAAAATCGATAACAGTGTTTTTGAAATGCCCAGTTTAAATGTGCATAGAAATAAAGTTCGGAAAAATTAAAAGAAACATTTTGATCATTTTTCAAACTGAAATCGGCGGATTGGTGTTAATTTCTCATAATTCCAGACGTAATGATTGAAAACACCTTATATAATTACAAAATTATATTCGTAAATCACCCAACCAGATCAAAAAGCATATTTTAATCATGTTGGCCTGATGAATAAGATATCGTACAATATTTAGTGTGACTTTTCTAAATTCTCAAATGGAATTATCTCTCTAGAGTGAAACCTCAAACTAGTGGTTAAAAACAAAATATAAGAAGGATGTCACTAGTGGATTAGAAACAGTTGACCCGTTTTATTTCTCTTGGCAATGGTGTTGTCGGTTATGTCTTCATTCGTACGAACTTTGACTAACCCTTGTTATCTTCCCCCCGTTTATAAGACCATTGAATGACATCAATGAAATCTCTGTTCTTAAATTTTGTAGTATGAAAATTATATATTCATTGCATTTAAATCTGAGACATGCATATCGAATCAATTGGAAATATTAACTCCTATATAGCATGTATAGTGCAACATCATCAAGAAATTAAAAAAAATTACAAAAGTGAAGAAATATTCTTCACGTTCAGTCCTGATTTTTAAAGAATTGCTAGAAAATTATTAATCGTAAAATGTAATTGTGCGAAAAGACAAAAAACTAGAATATATATTTTGATTTGGAAAATTATTGAAATAAATTAGATTTCTATATTTAGTTGAACATAAAGTTGGAGTGCAAGGATTTGATAACATTAGGTATGTAAATCAACACTGATCCTCTTGTTCTTTTAACTATTCAGACGATATTGTCACATCACAGTGAAAACAAACACGTAAATCAATTTCCAAACAAAACTTTTATTCAGTGCATGCATTTATATTTGTGTTACAGGTTGCCTGGACGTATCAGTTCAGATGTCTACAATTGATAATGTATATAAAACTTTAAACCAATATTTCCCGAACAGTACATACGCAATTAAATCGGACAGCGTATTTCAATGTGCATATTCTTGTACAGCGAAAGGCGATTTGTTTGCATTTCATGTAAGTATATAGTATATCTATCATGTTTATATAAACTCAATATAATTTTTTAAGAATAACATGCAAAAAGTTTTTTTTCCTTCATGATTTAATTCAATGTTATAATTTTTGGAAACATGAATTAAAGTGTCTATCATGATTGTTTTAATTATTTTCCTTTTTCTTTTATTAATGAAAAACGTGATGTAATCTGGAAAAGTATGGCACATACTCGTCAGCTGGGATGTCACTACTACTTCGTTAACATATTGAAATTGATACTATTAACCTTAAATGACCATTTCAGACATAGTTTCGTTAAAATCAAATACAAGCCAAGGCCTTACCCCCAAACAAATTGTTGACTCTCATTAACAATTGCTTTAGACATATTGTACATGCAGCACCATATCTCATGCCATAACTCATGTCTAAATATTAATGACAAGATTTCAACAAAAAGACAAAAGTACCATGGAACAATAAAAAATCCATTCGTCGAAAAATTGCAAAACCATGACCTCTGAAGAAATTAACGGCACTGCGGAATATTGCTACAGAGAAAACGGCGAGTTCATAGTGGAAAAATTGAAGTCATATGAGTTTCTACCCTTTGAGATACATTAAGTATAGGTGTGTTTCGCCATCTTGGATTGTACAATAGCAGAACACAATAGGTCTAGATTTTCAATCAAGTCAGCGAAGTTTGATGCATTAATACATTTGACAAACTAGAATGTTCATTTAAATGAACAAATCTATAAATATTTTTGCCTGATTTCAATTAGTTTTCAACTCAGTGTATTAAGATGAGATAACTGAGAAATAGTATGATTTATAAAGGAATCTACAGAAAATTTATCTATCTTATTTTATATCAGGAAAAAACGCACGGTGATCCCATTTTTTTTCTTGATATTCTTAAAACATTTTATAAGAGCTCACTTCTCGTATTGTATTTCAAAATTCTCAGAGGAACAAGTGATCAGTATGCTGGAGTTTCTTATTGTGAATTTGGAGGTAGATTTTTTTTAGCAAGTTGTCGGCTTTCCTATGGGAACAAAATGTGCGCCTCTCCTTGTCGACCTCTTTTTTTTTCATATGAATCGGAGTTCCTTCATACACTAGTCAATCAGGAAAAATCAAAGACGCCTGATCATTTAATTTCACATTCAGATATATTGATGATGTTCCTTCATTAACAATCCAAACTTTTCTGATTGGGTTCCATTAATATATCCTCCAGAACTAGAAATTAAAGAAACAACTATAACACGGCTTCCTCCGCCTCATTTTCAGACTTATACCTTGAATTTGACATAAGTGGTCATCTCCTTTCCAGAATCTATGACAAACGAGACGATTTTAATTTTGAAATTATAAATGTTCCCCACCGTAGCAGCAATATACCAACTTCACCTGCATATGGGATATACATTTACCAACTCTTTCGGTTCGGTATTCACGAGCGTGCAGCTACTACTCAGACTTTATAAAACGTCACCAGTATCTGAGCAGAAAGTTGATGAGCCAAGGTTATGTCAAAGAATGGCTCGTCCTGTTTCTAAAAAAGTTCATTGGAAAATACCAAGAGCTTGTTGAAAAATATTCCGTATCAGCTTCACAAATAATACATGATGGTCTTGAAGTATAGATTCTAGGTACTGACGTTGTTTATCATCTTAATTGTGTGTTGAAGTTCCCTTTTATTGTCCATGTATATTTTAAACCTTAACTGTTTATCCATTTTTGATTATATACTTATGACGTGGATCGGTACTTATACATCCCGCCATTGTGCTATGGTCAATTTTTAGTTCTTGTCTTTCGTGTTTGCTTATGTACTTTGTCTATATGCCATTTTGTGTTTCTTTGTTGAAACAGTTGTTTGTTTTTATAGTGCTTAAGATTATATTTCAATGTAAACTGCTGAACCCCAATTTTTGTCTTTTTTAACCTATTATATTTATTTGTTTTGCTCACACATTGTTGTCAATATAATGGAATTCTATGCGACTGTCATACAAGTGAGAGGTTTAGCTAGCTATACAACCAGGTTAAATCCACCATTTTCTACATAAGGAAATGCCTTTACCAAGTCAGGAATATGCCAGTTGTTTTCCATTCGTTATATGTGTTTGGGCTTTTGATTTTACCATTTTATAAATGACTTTACGTTTTGAATTTCCCTTGGAGTTCGGTATTTTTGTTATTTTACTTTTTTTTATCATTTAATTTACCTTCTATTTACATAATTTTCTCTGTATAACCCATATTAAATATTTATTTTTTTCAAACCCTGCAGCTTGAAATCAAGATCGGTGACCAATCATCCTTATTTTATGTTTGAACATATCACAACATATACCACATTTTTTTCAAAGTATTAGTTTCTTTTATACTCCCATACCACTTTAATTAAGTTTTTAACAAAATTTTCCGTTTTGGTAAAAAAAAAAGAAAAATATAATAGATAGAGAGGAACTTTTACCTGCAAAATATGAAGTAATGCAAGATCTACAAGCAAGTCAAAAAATGAGGCCGAAGATACCGAAGGAAAATTCTTGATTCTTTAGTAGAACAAAATAGCCGACAAAACCATGACAAAAGACGAAAATAGATGAAATGACAAACAAGTCCACAAAATATTACATATTAAAGTATGAAGACTTAGCAGAAGGAATCAGGTGCTCCAGTAGTTTAAACCGATTATGCCTCACATATGACACTCGTCGGTTTACTGATGAATAAAACATGACATGAACGAAATCTGCAATCGACCTTTTGTAAGAATTATTGCCCTTTAATGACGAGATTGTTTTTACATATTTTTGCTTTTTGGTAAAACTTAGGAAAGTAGAGAGAAACTATAAAAATCCGAAAAGATTAGCAAGATAAGAATTTGAAATTTTCAGTCGACTCCTTACATTATGTACTGCCTTTAAATGATGACTTTTGGCAATTTTTAGTGATTTTACATCTTTTTCATCTCGAAACATTTAATAGATAGACTGAAACTTTGAACTACAAATTTGATCATTAACACTAAGTCTACAAATAAGTCAAATAATTGTAATCATCAATCGAATCCATACACAAATTATGCCGCTCAATCACAATTTTGTTTTTACTTTTTGCATAATATGTAGAACACAATTATAGATAAATAATAATCTATGAATCAAAAACTATAAGCAAGATAAGATTGCGGTTCACCACAGTTTCCTTTCAACGCAAGTATGCTTAAATGTTAGGAGAGCGATACATGCCTTTTAAACCTCTATTTTACTCTTTTAACCATTGTATATATAATATTAAGCATACACATATTGCATATTCGCTTTTTGATACATTTGTGAGTGAAAAGTTATCTGACTATTTTCATTCATTTATCATTTTTTGTTATGAAAGTAATTACTTAACCATTCTGCTTCGTCAATTTAGAAATACATTTGCAAGTGTATTTATAAGTACGAATTGACGTCACATGTAGAGAAGAGTCCAGTTTGTATCTTTTGGGACGTACCTGAGGTAGACATTGTTGACAAAATTTATTCGAGATCTCGTAATTCACTTCCAATCTTCAAATTTGAAACAGGTATGTCGGTTTTTATGGTACAAAATTTCCCGATTTAGAATTAAGAATCTAGTCGGACAGACGACGGCATACACACTAAATGTTAGTTATAAGTTATTAATTAATTTGACAGGCCAAATGAAGTTCCAAAGAATCCACAAGTGGAGCATATCCTTCAACACCTATATTTTGTTCTGTCGAAATTAAATGGGTTTTTATCCATTTTTTTATGTCTAATTCGGTAGGTCACATTCGGGGAAAAGAGGACGGGATTAAGGTTATTAAAAAGATGTAAATCAACACAATATTTTCAGCATCATTATATCGAAATAGAGTTAAAAATAAAGATAGTATAGCCATTTTGGATATATTTTTCAAATATGCATTTACTGCTTTGCTTCTTCTTAGACAAGGTATATCTTGCAATGAAATACACATAGTATATAAATTACGTGCAAGACAAACCAGTTATCTTTTGATAACTTTATCAAAAAAGGTTTAAAACAATCGTTTCGCTTGCTCAAACTTTACTAGTAATACGTTGCACGACACATAACATCAATACCCAGTAAAGGAACAGCAAGTCCAGACTATGGTCGTCTTTGCCTATGACAGATACAAGGCTCAGTGTTGAAGGCCCTACTTTGACCTATAAATGGTTACTTTTTACACATTCTGACTTGGATGGATAGTTGTCTCATTGGCACTCATACCACATCTTCTTATTTATACCAACCTTATATATTCAACTATAGATAACTAATATTTAACGAAAAATCCAAAATCAAGGCACTTATATAGACAATAATACTGACTTGACATATAGGAATGAGGCTTATAAACGGGGAATGCGAGGCTCTGCCGAGCTTTTTCCCCGTTTCGGGCCGAATCCTTATATCTTTGATATGTCAAGTCAGTACACTATTATTGTTTTTATACTGCAATCTAGATAAAAACATTTTGAATTGTTTTTTATTGTGTTATTGTTATTTATTTGATTAAGATATTGGGAAAAATCACCCTTTAAAAAGGCCTCACAATTGGCGAAGAAATATACAACACAATGAAATGTACATTACCTGTTGAAACCAATCGATGGCGAACGAATTCGTTTGAGTATGGACTAAAATATCAACAATAAGCATAAAACATAATGATTTATAGATTTTAAACAAAAAATACTAACAAGTGAAATAATTGTAAAAGAAATAAGTTTCAGTCGTTCCACGCTACAGGTTGAAGCGGTCGTCATGAATATTCAAATATAGTTCCGGCTCTACTATTTAAATATTCACGAGGAAAAGTGTTATCGGGTCAGTGACTGTATACGACATAGAAATATACAGTCATCACATTTTGACTGCTCAAATAGAACGAGTGCAGTATAATACTGAATAAAGAGTTTATCGTAGTAGTGTTTCTCTTTAAATAATGATTGTTTTATTATAATTTTCATTACAATTATTATTATTATTATTATTATTATTTTATTATAATTATTATTATTTCGTGATTCCTCTTATCCAATCGATCATCTTTTTATTAAATATTAAGTTTTATACTCTCAAATCTTTAAAGAATTGACAATACAACACAATATCTTTGCGTCGAAATATCGTATATTTTATTTGTTTAATTTTAATCTATTACTAGATTTTTGTTAAAGCAGGTCACACAAAAAAAAAGGAATATGTTCCCAAACGCAAGCCTGTACTCAGGCCCAGTCAACAGCAGACCTTTTTTAAAATTATTAGGACAAAGTCAAGTCTTCTATCAGGACCGGTAAGAGCACAGTTCTCGTATCTAGTCTGGAACAGACCTGTCCTATAGACTAGTCATAGTAGACTGTGTACACGTCTGGATTTCAATAAGTATCTCAACAGGGCTGGATCAATCCTAAAGAAGCATCCCTAGATATGGTCTGCCACCGATAAAGCTTACTTACTTGTCTGCTCCAAGTATATCAAGTTAACTTTGAAAGCAGTCAAAATATCTGCTCAGATATAACTTTTGTACAGGTAATGATTACGCTCATCTGCACCGTGAAGTCTTTTTGCCAATTATGTACCGTAAGAAATAAAACAATAGGTAGGACAACCCGTTTTTTATGCCTTTAGACATTCACAATTTGCCACATACTGCTGTTTAAAGAATTCCGAATTCTAAATTTATAGTATTTACATAACTATGACATGAAACTACATTGTATTTTAATATATTGCATATATTTTTAGACTTGCGTACTGCGATTATACAAAAAGGTGATAGAGAACACCATCAACATTATTGCCTCGCCAAAAGAAATGGTACGTTCTCGAAAAGTGACTGCAACTCTGAAAAAATGTTTACTTGTGAAGAAGGCAAGTATTTTAATCTCATTTTTATTTGACCTTTGTAAACAAATAGTTTTAAAATGTATGCAAATATACATTGTAAATTATCATTCAGAATCTTGATAACAATCTAGTACTATCACTGGCTGTTTTGCATCCCGTTTCCTCCTGCAATTTGTACGGGCTAGCTGCCAGATTACAGTTTGGTCAAATGAACCTGCGTAGTTGTTATAATTGTTAATTTTCAGTATATCAAAATACAATCTCATACAACAATACTCAAATATCATTTCCATATGTTCCTATGTTTTTTTTCTTCAAAATGGATAATACCATTGATTAGAAATCTCACATTTCATTACGCTTATCAGCATTTCTTCGATAGAGCCTATGACGATCGAGAATAGTGATATTTTTAAAATGACCGTGTATCGGATAAAAGAAAGACCGAAAATACCAAAGGGATATTTAAACTCATAAGTCGAAGACAAACTGACAACTCCAAGGCAAAAAAAAAATTGAAAAACCACCAAAAGACAAACAGAAAAACTAAAGACTGAGCTACATGAACTTAACCAAAAACCGGGGGTGATCTCAGATGTCCCAAAGGAGTAATATCACAATTGTTTTCACCAATTAGTATTTGTTAAATTGTCACATTTCAAAACATTGTGCAGAATTTATCTTTGTATCAAGAAAAGAAATACTTGGCATGATCAAAGTGTTATTCTGTCCAGTACTAACGACAACATTTCACATAACATTTCATTGCATATCAGAAAATAACCATAACCGGAAGTTAATCAATCAAATTTTCACCCCTCTTTTTCCTGTTTACATGCTTTAGTAACCATTTAACCTCAAATTTCCAAAATACATTACATCATCCCTTCGTAAATTTTACGCACACCATCACGAGTTGGTTGACCGTTTCGGAATATCCGTTTCACAGATGATAGAGGATATGTTCTTAATGTCGTAACTACAATCCCGTCCCCTTTTCCCGAATGTGACCTTCCGAAAAAGATTTATCACCCGGTGTGTACTAACATGAGCAACACGACGGGTGCCACATGTGGAGCAGGATCTGCTTACCCTTCCGGAGCACCTGAGATCACCCCCAGTTTTTGGTGGGGTTCGTGTTGCTCAGTCTTTAGTTGTCTATGTTGTGTTTTGTGTACTGTTGTTTGTCTGTATGTCTTTTTTCTTTTTTAGCCATGGTGTTGTCAGTTTATTTTCGACTTATGAGTTTGAATGTCCCTTTGGTATCTTTCGCCCTTCATTTACAGACACACCAAATAAAAAAAAGAATGGTGCATTAAAACATCCAAGACGCGTGTTTCTGACTCCGAAATTTGTTATGCAATGAAATGTAGGGTTAATTTCCTACAACTTTAAATTCAAAGGAATATTTTTTTTTCTACCCTTTGTCGTATGAATACGGATGTGACGTACATTTTTTTACTATGACTTGGTGGTATTACACCTCACAAAAAAATGAATGTGATTAGTTTTCTGTGAAATACTAGTTATTTCAAGCATTGCTGTCAAGTTTTGTTATACAATGCAGTCTGTTCAATAGTTTGATAGATATTAAGTATAATGTAAGACGACATCCACGGTGATTTGAGCAAACTTTCTTCGAAAAATCAAAATCACGCCGCATCATGATAGAATACACCTTATCGCTATTCCCGCTTGACCCGAGAATCTGTCCCGCTCGAACTTTTGACGTCATACAATAATCACTTTTCCATTGTGGCGTCAGATGTTTTCTATTATGACGTCAAAATTTTATGGGAACTTGTGTGGAGTCCTGTAATAGCGGACAAATAGCGATAAGGTGTATATAGTGTGGACCAGTAAATTAACTAATAAATGATTAATTATTCATCCCATCTTCATAAAACAGTTGAATATGATACAACAGATGACTCTAAGATGATAAACACCAGTAGTGTGCCTCTTTGTCTTCATTATAAGGTACCTTTTGGTCCATTTATACCTCTCATTTCCTCAAAATTTTAACTTTTTAGGCTGATAAATCAAACTTTTGAGGTAACTATCACACATTTATGTAAGAAATGTGATACTAATTAATAAATGAGTAAAATTGAAGATTTCAAGCTAATAAACTATCCATATAAAATGTTAATGACTCCATTGAGGTTTCAATAACTCCTTACGTAAAACTTAAGTTTACGCCGCGTTCCAGAGAGGTTCCCTTTTAATAAATAATTTGTTGTAACCGCTTTAAAAAACATTTCATTTACTTATTACTGTATATCTTTTAAAGAATTACGTAGGAAAAAGTTTTCTTTTATAGCCCAATATAGGAAATAAGGAGAAAAAGAGTCAGAAAAAGCTCCCCAAAACAATGAGTATGACTTGCTCTACCTACTTATATTCCACTCAGAATATTTCATGTTTGCAATATTTCAGTGAAATAGCATGAATTTTGAGAGTACATACAAGGTCAAAGGTGCATGTGCAGTTTCACTAAATAGGGTTAATACATATACCACTATTCTTTTTTCCCTGTTAGTCTTTGTTAAATTGGCACTTTTCAAAAAATTGTGCAGAATTTATCTTTGTTTCCAATGAAGAAATACTTGGCATGAGTGAAGTTTTATCCTGTCCAGTACTTAAGACAAAATCTCACATAACATTTTTTTGCATATAATATAGTAACTATCACTGGAAGTTAACCAATCAAATTTTCACATTTTTTTTCCGGTTTACAAGCTTTAGTAACCATTGAACCTCAAGTTTCCAGAATATTTTATAGAAACACCAAATAAAAAAAGAATGGTGCTTAGAAACACACAAGATATATGAGCTGCTTCAGATTAATACCGGCCTTATATCTATATGTGTACATGTATAAGGCTTTAATAGATTTCGGAACATTCGAATACGAAATAAAAGATGAATTTTGGTCTGGTTAGTATGATTCTGATATCAACTCAATTTCAAACAGTAACAGACTTTGCATATTGATTTTTTCAGCCCGAAATAATTTAACAGATATTCATTTGCATAAGGTCGATTTCTATCTGAAGCAGCTCATATGTTTATGACTCAGAATTTTTTTTATGCAATGACATGCATATTCCTGACTTGGTACAGGCATTTCCTTATGTAGAAAATGGTGGATGAAACCTGGTTTTATAGCTAGCTAAACCTCTAACTTGTATGACAGTCGCATACAATTCCATTTTATTGACAACACTATGTGAGCAAAACAAACAGACATAATAGGTAAAAATGTCAAAAATTGGGGTACAGCAATCAACAGTCAACAGTGTTATCATTCAGTCAGCACTATTTTGCAGGAGACATTGGATACGGTACATGGACTACTGCTATCTACAACTGTGCAGTCAAATATACATCACTTGTGAAACACAACAGTACATATTTTGATTATTGGTTACGGTACTTCATGTATGAAGAAGGTAAGATAGTGCGTATAACATTTTGTATACAAAGTCGGTAATCAAATCAACATTTAAGATAATAAAATGCATGCCATCATCAGTGTGTATTGATTTTTCAAAGCACACTTTTTTTTCTGTCAGATAATGTAATTGTTTGATACAATCAATGCTGCAACCACTGGAGTTCAATGTTATATACTTTTCGAATGACCTGACTATGCCACTAATAATGAAATAAATACTAATCTAAACATTACTTTGTTATGTTTTCACCAAATAAGACTAGTTACCTTTAAGTTAGTACTTACCATAAGCAAGATGACGGGTGTCACATTTAGAGCCGAATTGCAAACCGTGCCGGACCACCTGCCATTACTCTCTGTTTTGGTCGTGTTCTTGTTCCTCAGTCTTTAGTTTTCCTGTATTGTTCTATAGACTATTGTTTGCCTAACGTTCCTTTTCGTTTTTTTACATGTTTCTGTCGGTCTTTCTTAGACTTAATTAGTTTTGATTGTCCCTTTGATATCATACGCCTTTTTATGTTACTTTTTAACTGACATTTATTCTAATAATGGAAGATAATCTTAGTTGAATCATATTTCATCGCCGATAACAAATGCATTACACCTTTTCAATTCTTATGTCAAGTATGTACCATAATAATCTAAAAAAAATTACCCATTCATTGTTCGAATTGAAGCATGGCTAATTTATGTAAACCAACACTCAACTAAAAATAAAAGCATATTCACCAAGGATTAAATTTCAGCTGATTTGTTGTGAACCTTAATGTATTTTTCAAATAGTATTTACACAAAAGCTGTCAATGAGCAACAATAATAAAGGCTGCAGTATGGAATAAGACTAAACGTAAAGCCACGACGGATTTCAATTAAATATATGTGACAAACCAGGAAGAGACGTTTGCACAATGGCATGACCGTAAAAGGTGAATAACTTAAAACTAAAAAAGAGGCAACAATAATCGAGAGGGCAATCAAAAATCATAAAAAACAGACAACACCATATAAAAAACTTACGATCATTCAAACAACAGTTTACAAAATATCAAACGAAACAAACAACTTTAGCTGAAATAGTTTGAGTCATTTCAGGTGATTATGCTAAAGCTGATTGGTGAATGTCTCCTGTCTAATCATAAGACATTAATGAATTTGTAAACGCGCTGTACAAAATAATTCTGTAATCCAAAATTGACGAAGGTCGAATGAAAATAAGTTCATTAGGATAATGGTCAAACAAGACTGACACATATAGACACAACACAGACATTTTAAAATAAAATAAGACGAAATAAAACACTGAAAACTAAAGTAAAGTAAAGTTACCACTTAAAACTCAGGGTGATCTAAGGTGCTAAGGAAGGGTAAGCAAATATGCTTTACTAGTGACATCCGTCGTGCTAACCGTAGCTGGTACAAATTCGATTGGAATTCCTAAATTTGCCTTCAGTCTTTATTGCTGACATGGATAATACTGCCAAAGAAAAGATAATATTCATTATATGTTATTAACCTTACTCTTTGCTATATATGAAAAGCGGCACGGATTATACATCAAT